AGGTCACGCATGTCCCAAGCGAGGAGCAGCATGCTGACATCCTCACGAAGGCTTTGCCGAGAGACCTTTTTGAAGTTCACCGCGACTTTGTATTAGGCTCAAGGAAATAGAAGTCTGTTCTTTTTTTTTTTGCTTTCATACATGCGAAGTAAATGTATTTGGTCTAGTAGATACAAAAGCCCCCCAGGGAGGGTGTTCGTGGTAGCGGTCTTATGTATCGCCTGAGCTGCGGTAGAACATCTGATTGGATATTTTTAATTGCAGAACTGTCGATCGTAGGTTGTCATGCCGAGTGTTCTGCGAATACTCTTTGTGGTAGTTCGGTAGATTGTACACACGTAAGGATCGTACAACGGACCGTAGGTGTAAGTCGGTACGTTGGTATGTGGTACGTTGGACACTTGTCCAGTAGGAACGTTCTAGCATTGTCGCTAGAGGTCGGGCTTACGGGTCATTGTCGTGTTCGGTGCATTGCTTTGTGTTCCGAGTGTGCATCTATCCGGAGGAGGAGACGTTGGGAGCTGGGAGCATCACGCTCGCCCCCTGTCCGCACTCCACTCTCCGACCTGTCTCTCCATACCTGGGTCTCACTAATACAATATTCTTCTCCAGAAGCCACTGATTTACCAACATGAGCAAGGTGGAACGCTTGCACATCGCCTGCTACTGCTAGTAACCATTTACCTGCCTAAAGTCGGAATACTAGGATTCTGGGCAGCAGGTGGTCGGAATATTCCTGAAAGATAGATGGTATCTTAGTCCAAGGATCCACATACCAGAACACTAGCCCACCCTGAGGGGACACATACGCACAGTCTAGAATCTGGAGAGGGGGAAATAACAATCCATCTGGGGCATCTACTCTAGACTCAAGGATACGGGGCCGCACAATCCTCTCCCACACCTCTACGTGGATATTTCAAGAGAGCTACGTTCTCGGCTACCAAAAGGGCAGAATTGAAATAAGGGGAAACTGGGGCAAGCAGCGTGTAGGCTGACAGTGGCAATGAAAGCTGAGCAAAGAAGTGCGGAACACATCCAAAGATAAAATCAGGGGCAGAGCTACACATGCAAATTAAGAGAGAAGAAAAAGTCAGGGGGTCTATCGATTGCAAGAGGGTCACGAAGAACGGCGGTGTGACGCCAGGATAGTCCAGAATACGCAAGCACAAGAAAATGCTCAACCTAATGCAAAATGGCAGAAGCAAAAATACTCAGAGACAGCGGCGCAGCGGGAGCGGGCTAGAAAGCAAGAGCCGGTAAGTATGGTGCTCCGCGCGCGGTCCAATAAAATGGGCGGGGCGACAAACGGGCGGCGGTTGTCGGAGTGGACTCTGAAATATAAAAAATGGAAACACGTGTGGGTGGACAAGGTCAAAGATCAATATGACCTCGAAAGCTCAAAACAGGGGCGTTGACAGTAGATGTCGTAGTTTCAAGGAGTGATGCCGTGGGCGGTAGCTTGCTCCTAGAGATAGATGAAGGTTCTGTCGTTGACACGCTTGTCCACGACGACGTTGAGGTGGGAGAGTTGCTTGTTATTGCTGAGAGACGATCAGCAAAAGTCTGGGATGAAGTGGGGATCCAATTTCATCTCAGGGGGTACACAGAGTAGACAATTCTAAGGGGGTAGGGGTCAGAAGAGTATACCTCCTGACCGACCCGCATCCTATCAACAATAAGATGTACTCTATTCATGCTAGCAGCCACACTCCTTAACACTAGCCCACCCTGAATATCATTTATGCAGATTCTATACTCAAATCAATGCTCAAATCCTAGTCTAAAGCATAATTAAGATTCAGCTGATGATTTAAGATCATGAATCGAAGATATGACTCTTCACAAAACATTCAAAAGGAGGGTGAGTTGTAGAAATATCCCGAATCAATCCCCCACACCATCATTGAGATGAAGAATGCGAACGGTCACGAGGCGGAACATCGACATCTCAATGACAACGCTTGAAGGGATGAAGCTACGAAGAATATATATTGCGGCAGAGCACGCTATCATCCTGAACAGACGACGACAGGGAGAGAAAAATCAATGTCCAGACACCACACACCACTCTTTTACGCGCACCCGCGCGTATCACCGCTGGAGGAATGAGGGTGACTACCCGAGCGAGTCCAAAATATGGTGACGAAACTCAAAACCCAAACAAATTTCCGAACGAATACGGCCTTTGATACTGGACGCGACGCAAAGGGGAAACTCAACGCAATCTAGGACGTTAACGACGGGCAGGAGAAAAGGACGACAGGCAAAGGCACGGAGAACGATGGCCAGTGTGCCAGGGTACCCAACTCGTATAAGGAGACGGCAGGGGCAAGACCTATTGAGGACCAAGGATGCAAAGCACAAGCGATTAATGCAAGAGAGGCGGTCGACAAACTGCGCCATGGCTCGCTGGCGATACGCATCATTCAAAGACATAAACACAGAAAGTCGTAATGATTGACACTCAAGACAAGAGCTCGGGGATTGATCGTCTTCGCAGTTTTGGCGTATCCAACGGCGAGACTTACGAAGAATACATCCGTCGCTATGNAACTGCGCCATGGCTCGCTGGCGATACGCATCATTCAAAGACATAAACACAGAAAGTCGTAATGATTGACACTCAAGACAAGAGCTCGGGGATTGATCGTCTTCGCAGTTTTGGCGTATCCAACGGCGAGACTTACGAAGAATACATCCGTCGCTATGAGGCTCTGGCCATGACCGTCATGGTTTCCCACGACGCGTTCAAGCCTTCGGATGCGCAAGTGCAGATAGCTTATCGAGACTCCATGTTGAAGCAGTTTCCGGTAGTGTCTGGGCAGGTGTACAAGGATGAGCAGCTCTCCATAGAAGGCCCTTTGGGGCGACATGCTTCGTGTCTGGATGATATGTGGGATGCGTTGGACAAGCGAANTCCGGTAGTGTCTGGGCAGGTGTACAAGGATGAGCAGCTCTCCATAGAAGGCCCTTTGGGGCGACATGCTTCGTGTCTGGATGATATGTGGGATGCGTTGGACAAGCGAACGTTCGCGCACACGCCGGCGGTACATGGAGATGATTTCTTTTCGGTATCTTCCACGAATGCTAGGAGATCGTCTGCTGTTTCGCGTGCTGTAGCTTCTTCGGCGTTG